CCCCCCACCAACACCCTCTTCCTCCCCCTCCCTCCCTCAATACCGAACCTTCTTTCTCTTGTACCCAAAACTTCCAATTGCTCTAGTCCACCCTGTTAACATACTTTCTGCGCCTGAGTCTGAGCCATAAACATGTACAATCCTAGACGTTACGCTGCAACTTATTTCGCGTTCACTATGGAGCGCACCATTTGAGCCAGGTGAAGATCAAATACAAGCACCCGAGTATAGTGAGACTCGTATTTGCCCTTCATTTTGGCATAATGGTGAGGCCCATGATGCTCACACATTGCAGTGAGATTTTTATGGATACTAATTTTATTATAATTCAATTCCATGGCCACACATATCCACGAGAGCTACAAGGAAAGGTAAAAAGGGAAGGCAGTTTGGAACACAGAGTTAGTGATCATCATCATCATCATCATCATCATCATCATCATCATCATCATCATCATCATTGCCGTCGTCTCCCTGCATCACGGTATAGGCCACAAACAAACACTTTCCACATTTCCCTATCCTTGATATTATCCCATGCCTTCCCACTTTTCTACACATCAGCAAATTAATAACAGTTGTTCATAATGGTAAGTTTTAGTATTTTTGAACTCCTATAAACTCAGTTTAAATCATACTTTAGAAGCTGCTTCGACCTTGTCCCCCAGGCCCAGGCCGGGATCAAACGGTAAGATCTCACAGCTTCTGCCTGCGACTGCGAAGTGCCTACATCACAGACGAAGGTGACCACAGAGTCAAAGTCAGAATGTTGAAAACCATCGTGGGATTCCGAACTCCAAAGCATACAGTAGGTGCAGTTGTTGCGTCCAGGGACTTTATAGGACTAGCAGGGAATGCAATCCTCAGACTACGTACCGGAAAGCAATTTTTTATGTTAGGTGTCGAAAAAAGTGGGTCCATTTTAAAGGCAATAGCTCGGTCGTCTTTGCACCAATTTTCAACAAATAAAAATTAACCAAGGGGCCTTGTATTTGTGAATATTAGAAGACCAACCTTTGCGTTTGAGAAATAACACGTTTTTAACGTTTAAACAAATAATAATTTTTCAGTTAAATGTTTTAGACGACTTGAGCGATGATGGGTGACAAGATAAAGAGTATCAAGATTGAGATGCAAACCACAAGGAATATGATTGGTTCACAGGGCAGGGCACTATTGTATTATATATAATATATGAAACCTAAAAATGTTTTCTTGAAAGCATTAGTCCTCGGGCTTTCTGAAAAATAAGTGGAAAAAAATATCAAAGCCAGGCACTATCAAAGCATCAGCTTTGAAGTCTCTTTTTCCTTCGAAAACACAGGGTCTTGATAGTTTCCGGTGTTTTTTCTGATTTTCATTCAGCATTGGCTACTGTGTAAAAAAACACATTGATTATCTTCCCTTAGTCATATGTATGAATATAGAATGTACAATTAACTATATTTTTAGTATTCATTTTCATTAAAGACTTTTGTTTTCAGGAGGCAGTCTAGCGTGTGAAAAAGATGCAGCGTTTCTTAGAGGCTACGTTCCCGAATGGATGAAGATTACTCGGGGTTCACAAAACTGCGCCCACTGACTTTTAAATAAATCATAAACACTTTTGCGCTCTTAGAAAAAGATATCAACAATGTCGTTTTTGAGTGTGTGTGTGTGTGTGTGTGTGTATGTGTGTGTCTGTGTGTGTGTGTCTGTATGTGTGTGAGTGTGTGTGTGTGTGTGTGTGTGTGTGTGTGTGATCGTGGTGAAGTCAGGCCCTCGCCAAAATAATGAAATCAGATAAACCAACATTGTCCACCCGCTGGGCAATTTTCATTGATATATGGACATTTTAATCCATTCACCCCAAGCACCCAAAAATTTTGACGAGAGCCGGATACCATCTCGCGGCGACACACTTTAACTCTGCTTGATCTATACCTTTATTAAACACTTAGGCTCCACATCACGCTGTTTGGTGAGCTTCTGGTTCAGATTCTAGGGACGAAGATGACGAAATATTTCTAAACTTTTTGTCGCTCTGTGAGAGGAGTTGGGAATGAGGGTTGTGTCCCCCCCCCCTCCCCTTTTCCCGGTTAACCTGGGGGGATCAAGAGTAAGCTCCAAATGAAGAAGTAGGCTAACACCACGATTAACTTGCACATCATTTCCAACATTACAGCATCATCATCGTAACCGCCATCATTGTTACCACCCCCATCATCATCATCATCATCATCATCATCATCATCATCATCATCATCATCATCATCATCATCATCATCCTCATCATCAACTCTTCCTGTCCTTTTCACCGCTGAATCTGAACCTGTTGCTAAAGTCAAGAGAGCAGCCCGCAAGTGGAGCTCTTAAATGCTCAAAATGTGGCAAACTCTTCCCAGCCAGAATTGGGCCATTATCCTTTTATTGTCCCTTGCCCATTTCTGTGAGATTGACGCAATCTGATTAGTAGAAAAAAGTGCTTATTAGTGCCTAATAATTTATTACGTACACACTTATTATAACGTATAACTGTTACATATAGAGATTCAAGGAATATAGATGTATGTCCAGGATCTGAGAGCAATGACGATTTTAGACGTGATGGTGGTGGGGAATGATGATGTGAGATGGTGTTTATTAACTAATTATTGAGGAGACATACGTTCACTCACTGACAGTTGAGTTTTTTATGTTTACGTCAGTCCTTTTTTCCTTTACTCCAATGAGTCACGAGGGACGTAGACACCCTCTACCCCGTCCCTTACTCGAACCATCTTTAATGTTGGTCCATTGTCCTAATATAATTGTCAAAAGCAGCAAGTCGCTCTAACCCTTAATTATTCTTCTATTTCGTAACATCTTCTGCAGATCCTCTGATCATCATCAGACACTGACGGGCAAACTAGTCCTATTCTGTAGCTGCTGTCATTGCTGCTGTCACTGCTGTTGTTATTGCAGTTGTCATTCCTCACTGCTGTTGTGAATGCTGCTGGCTGTGAATGCTGTTGTGGCTGTTGTCACTGCTGTTTTCACAGCTGTTGTCAGTGCTGTTGCTGCTGTTACCACTACTGTTGCCAGAGCTATTGTCATTCATTGCTGTCACTGCAGTTGTCGCTTATGTTCTTATTGCTGTTGTCAGTGCTGCTGTCAGTGCTGCTGTCACTGCTGTTGTCACTGCTTTTGTCATTGCCTTAGTCGTTACTCAGATTCTGTTGCTGATCTTCCTCCACCCTGAGACAAACACACAATAATTTCTTCTCTGGACTCGCTCTCCCAGCGTAGCCTTGTCAGTAACACGTCACGACAGGCCAACAGGTCAGAGGTTGAAAGGTCAAGGGTGACCTCTCCTGTGTATTAGCAGCTGTGATGACTCTGTCACTTGTAGTTAATCACAAGGGTTGGATTCAAAAGGCTGTATACACAACAAGAATGCATTGCAGATGATAGTCTTTGAGACCCACTCACTGGCGTGTCTCAGAATAAAAATAATATGAGGAAAATTACGAAGTATTTCCGAGTCACTTCACGCAAGCTGAAACCTCATTGAGTCTGCACGAAAGGATGGAAAACGGAGGAACAGCGAATGTGCTGAACGAATACCTCGTCTCGATGGTGGGTGTTGCTCGTTTTGTCGATCAATTTTCTATTTGGAATTAGCGAAACAAAAATGAAAATGGAGGGAAAAAATGATAAAAAATACCCCAACAACAACATCAATGACGATGAGGAGGAGGAGGAGGAGGAGGAGGACGACGACGACGACGACGACGACGACAACAACAACAACAACAAAGACCGCGAAAAAAGTCAGTTGCATGGAAATTCGACATAGCTTTAGCCATGAAAAATCGAAACCAAATACAACCGGCCTTGTCTACATTTTGTATTCGATACTGTTACCAGTTAATAATAATAATAATAATAATAATAGTAATAGATAGCATTTGTATAGCGCAAATTCCCCGCTCAACAGCAAGCTCTATGTGCTTCACAATCTATACTATTACCCCTGCAGACCTGAACGCATTATGAAACCACCTCAACTTCCTAAGCCTACGGTGCAAACAGCTATACAGAGGCGCTAAAACACTAACATATTGACAAGATCTTTCCCTGTCTATGGCTGGGTACCCATTCCTACCTGGGCGAAGAGAGGAAAATTCGTGTAAAGTGCCTTTTCCAAGGACACAACATCGGGCCTGCGGCTCGAACCCCCGAACCCCCAATCTCTCGATTATGAGTCCGATAGCCTAACCTAAGAGGGTGCAGTAACGGAGCGGTTAGTACGCTCGTCTCCGAAGCGGAAGGTCCGGGTTCGAGCATCGATTCGGACACGGATGTTTTACGCCCCCTCCTGCCCACCCACCAGTAATGGATACCTGACTTCGAGTTGGGGAAGTAAAGGCGGCGTGGAAAGGAACTGGCCACCCTACCACATTATGCCGAAGGCCCAGGAAGTTGTCTTACTGACAAGGTAATCCCCAATGGCCGGATCGGACGAGGGAACAACTTTACTTTTTAGCCTAACCACTAGGCCACCAGACAATGACGTCAAAGTCGCTCTCCTCCGGCGTAAGCGAAAGGAATATTACCGTACCGATTGTTCTATTTTAGTACAATGTTATATATTAGGAAGAATGCTAACCGGCAGCTGTGATGTAGTGGTTAAGCACTTCATCATCGAACACAAAAGACCTGAGTTCGATTATCATGTGAACAATCTTTTTTTTCGTCTTTCTGGTGCGACTTTTGCTTCTCTGTGAGCCTGGATTGGCGAGGAGAGGCTGGGTCTAAGCCTGCTTCCTAAATGATCTAACTTGTGTTCACTCGAGTATAAGTAAACTAGCATTAAAAAGACAAAGTGCAGTTTGGAACCTTTGCCACTCGAGATAACTGGGGGTTGTTTTTTTCGGAGAAAAAAATTTGACCCGGGGGGGGGGGGGGGGGGGCTGTAGGAAGAAGTACGCAGTTCGAAAGAACCAAAAGAACGAAAGAGATGAAAAAGCATTCCCCTTCACCTATTGTAGATTAAAATATGAGCACAAAAACATAAAATTGTAGAGTCATACACTTCTAATCATGGAGATGGATGGAGAGAAAAATGGATGAGAGTCTGTGAACTTGCTAGACAGATGGGGTTATTAGGTTCGTTTGAACCCCCTTTACTTGTCTTTGAGGCTGAGAAAAGAAAACAAAAACAAAAACAAAACCGAACAAAATAATCTCTCCGTCCCGTTCTCTAGGCTATTCGGCTGCACCAGGGAAAAGCGACTTTGAAGTCATCTCCTTGTGTAATCGAATACAGATAGACGAAGCAGGTTAAATTTGATTTCATCTCGATTTTTCGATAACTAGAGCTCTCTCGAATCGTCATGAAACTGAGTCTTTTCTGTTTTTGTTTAAGATTTTTCAGATTATAAAATTTCTACGCCTACACATTTGCACACACACATAATAATACACACACACACACACACACACACACACACACACACACACACACACACACACACACACACACACACACACACACACATAAGCACACATAAATACTCCACCCCCAAAAATAAAAATAAAATAAAATAATACGAATCCACCAATAGTGTATGCTGCCATTCTCGAGTCCCAGGACGAGTAGGGAGACAGACCGAACTAAAGATGAGCACAGCAACAAAGTTGTCAGGAGACCTCGTCGATGTAGCAAGGCTAATAAGCAAGTGGGTGGTTGGCGGGAGCTCTGGTGTGGTTCGCTAATTCATTCCTATCAAATATCTGTTGTTCTTATCTCTTCTCCTTTTGGTGTGTTTGTCACGTTCTTGTAACATCTCAAATGTTCGTCATTTATATGATTTAATTGTCCTGCAAGTGCCGTAAAATTCTTACCAAACAAACGAGCAAGAGAGACAGGACCAAGCCGCTGCCTATAGTCATAAGGAGCTGACGCAAGAAAAAAAATAAAGAAGAAGTATGTTGCAAGTCTATTTTCATTCACTGTATTAACTCAGTTAATAAGCTACAAAACCCCCCACAAAAAACAAAACAAAATAAAAACAAAACACTACCCCCCCAAAAAAAACCCCAAAAAACCCCAACAAAACAAACACACCCGAAAAAAGTAACAACCACTCTCCACCCTCAAAAACACACGACTCAGCATTGAGTATCGATACCGTGGATTATTACCATCGCGGTATTCGCTAAGCACTGCCGCTGTTTCCCATTCCTCAGCTCTTTACTTGTCCCTGTGGCTGGACAGAAAGAGAAAAAGAGAAACAGCATTGCAAAAGCAAATCAAGGAAAAAACTCCAAAGACTCCGGATTTTCCACTCAACGTCAGTCACTCCTGAGGTCCGTAAAGGATTTAATCTTTTCTTTAATTTCTTCCTTTTGGCGGCCTTCAGACTCTAAGGTAGTGTCAAACTAGCCTGCTCCATGTGAGGATTTCTAAAGCTTTTGGAGAGAGTGAGATTTTACTCCCCTTTTAGTGAAGTTTAGGTTAGTTTGGACCAGAAGCCTGAGAGTACATTACGTAGTCTGTTTTGGGATGCTGGTGAAACATTTTGTTAAATGCTACTTTCTTCTTCTTCTTCTTCTTCTTCTTCTTCTTCTTCTTCTTCTTCTTCTTCTTCTTCTTCTTCTT